GCTCACATTATCTTAGACAATGCTTCAGCTTTCAACGCCGAGCACACTACTGTTTCTTATTATTTTTATGCATTCTAGGTTTGAGGTGGCTTCCTGCTACATGTGATATGTGCATGGTTTTAGCATGAAAGAATGCCTGCTGTTGTCCAGAGCCTCTTCTGTGTCCACTGAGCTGATGGCCAAATTTCTATCCTTCATTCTATCAACATGGTGAGCATATTTATTGATTTGGATGTGTTGAACCATCCTAGAAATGCAGAAATAAATCTCACTTGATCACTAGGATCACTCACTAGGATACTTTCAATGTGTATGTTTAAACATCTTAGTAAGAGTGTATTACTTTGACCATCAGGGATATTGGTCTATAATTTTTTTTTCTTCTAGTACCTTTATCTGGCTTTGGAAATAATGCTGGATCCACAAAATAAATTTGAAGGTGTTTTCTGCTTTTCAGTTCTTTAGAACTTGCTCAGAACTGAAGTTTTGTTTGTTTTTGCTTGTTGTCTGTGTTTTTGCATTTATTTTTTATTGAAGTTTTGCAATTTTCATATGATATAGCTATTTCTTTTTGTAATGTTTGGTCAAATTCAGAGGCAAGCTATCTAGTCCTATACTTTCCTTTTTCAAAAGCGTTTTTTCCCCTTGGTGTTTATTGGAGTTTTTTTTTTTCCCTTGGAGTTTATTGGATTTCTTATAAATGCCCACACCAGAATGGGAAATGATTCATAAAAGCTCATCATTGGAGGTCCCTGAACAGCTATCAGGTAGTTACACCAGAGACCCCACCTCCACTCCAGCAGCTGTTTACAGCTTATATATCCTTGGAGCAGGGCCTCATAGACGGTGTAAGCATTGAGACAGAGTTGAGAAGGGATCCATCAATTCCAACACACTAAACCAGCAAACCCCTAATACTAACACTGGAGGAGGAAAGAATTAACCATAATCCAAACAGAAAAACAACAGGCAACAGAAAATCCCTCTCAATAATAACCTCATATGCAAATGACCTCAACTCACCGTTTAAAAAATAGACTAGCTAACATTAGAGGACATCAGTCATCTTCAAGAAGTATATCTCACTGACAAAAACATCCGCGAACTGAGAGTTAGAGGATGGAAGTCAACCTACCAAGAAAATGGAATCTGAAAACAAACTCATGTAGCTATTCTTGTGTCTGGTAAGGTAGACTTCAAACAGAAAAATAACCATAAGAGATAAAGAAGGTTACTACATATTGATAAAGGGAGGAATTCATGAAGATACAACAATCATAAATATTTGTACAGAGTGTTGGGGTTCCCAATTTCATTTAAAAAAAAGAAAACACTAAAAGTCATAAAAGGTCCAATCGGTCCCAATAATAAAGACTTCAGGGCCCTACTTTTATTTATACGTATATATTTCAAACAAGAATAAGTTTTGAAACTTCAGAGCTAAACTATACCATGATTAACTGGATTTAACAGATAGCTCTAGACTATTTCATCCAACAGATATTGATAATATTGATAATGCATAAATTTCTAGACACATGACCCACCAAAATTAAGTCAAGAATATATAAGCAACTTAAACAGAACCTTACAAGAAATACTATTGAAGCAGTAACTAAAATTCTCCAAAGAAATGCCAAGCCCTGGACAGATTCACAGCTGAATTCTACCCAACTTTTAAGGAAGACATAACATGAACACTTCTCAACCTGGCCCACCAAACGCAAAGGGAAGGAACACTTCCAGACTTATTCTACGAAGTCAGCTGTTGGGAGCTGTTACTATTATGAGCACAGCCATTGCTGCATTAAGTGGTGGCAGCTTGTCTTGACTTAAGCATTGGAGAAAGAATGCTTCCACCTTGGGAGTTTCCCTGCTCTCTGCTTCTGTGGTCTGAGTTGACAGGCTGTGCTTCCCTGATTAATTGGCAGTCTTGGAAACATAACTAAAGAGTTCTGTTTCAGTTTACGGGCACCAGAGTTTCTCAGCACTGAAAGCTTGGTTTCTAGGTAGAAATAACAAATTGTGGTAGTTGCTAAGAGTAATCATAAACAGTGCACCTTAAATCTAAGATATTATAAATATTATGCAGCTGAATCTTGGAAACTGTAAACATCATGTGAGTTTCAGTTGGTGAAGTAATGTATTCTTGATAGTAACATACTGTATCCTTGGTTATTCCTTGGTTACTTTCTGTAACCTTAGTTATTCCTTGGTTACTCCAGATCTGATTCTTATATAAGCCTGGTTTGGTCCACAATAAACATGCACTGGCACATAGACCTCTGCATCTCCTGTGTCTTGATTTCTATCTGTCGGGGTCCCCAAGCCCACCAGGCTTGGTTTGTGGTCACTGCACCGTGACAGTCAGCATTATTCTCATACCAAAACCAGATAAGAACACAAATGCAACAACAAAAACGGCACTATAGATACATTTCTTTAATCAAGACAGAAACAAAAATTCCCAACAAAAGTTTGCAAACCCCCCAGAAAAATATAAAATCACACATATGACCAAATGAGGTTCATCCCAGAGATGCACATGGTTTGTTCCACATTTAAAAATCAATAAAGGAAATACAATGTGTATTAGACAGAAGTCATATGATCACTGCAATAGATACAGAAAAAGGAGCTGATGAAATTCAACATCCCCTCACAATGCAGTCCTGGAGAAACTAAGGTCAGAAGTCCAGGAGAAACATGTCATATACACCAGACCTATCACTCCGGCATACTAAATGGGAAAACACTGAACATTTCCTCTAGAATCTGGAATGAGACAAGGGTACCCAGTCCCACACTCTTATTTTAGTATTCAAATTCTTAGCTAAGCAGTAAAACAAGAGAATGGAATGAAAGGAACGCAGGTAAAAGAAGATGCCAAATCATTTCATTTGCAGATGACAGGAGTTAAAGACAGTAAGGACTCCATCACCAGAACATTCCTAGACCTGATAAACACTTTGACACGCTTCAACACTTTGATATGTATACATATCTTAAAATAAAAATTTCCACTAAGAAATGTCATTATTAAACCTACAGCCAGTGCCTTATTTAGTTTCTATATTGCAGAGATTCTTCCTACAGCAAGAGAAAAATAAAACAAGAAATGAGCAAAAAATTGGATGAACTAGAACTATTGATATTACCTGGTAGAAGTTCTGTGCCATTAAAAAATGAGAAAAGAGCCACATTAAAACTGGGGAAGAATAAAATGACTTCTATTTGTAAATAATATGAGCATCATAAATGAACATGTGAAAGAAACCATAAAACACATTCACACTGTAATGACAGTGGTTATTATTTGCAGAATTGATACATACAATTAATTATGCAAAGTATATTCTATTTCTATAAATTGAAATACAAACAATTGGACATTAAACTATAATAGCAGTTTCTACAGTATGAGAAAAGGATATGTAGAAACTTTACAATTAAACACACAAAATAGAAGAAAATAAATGAGACTCATGAACGGCAAAGAGTGGATTATTATTATTATTATTATTAATTATTATTTTGGTCTTTTTGAGACAGGGTCTCCCTGTAGCCACAGCTGTCCTGGAACTCACTATGTAGACCAGGCTGGCCTTGAACTCACAGAGATCCGCCTGCCTCTGCCTCCCGAGTGCTGGTATTAAAGGTGTGCGCCACCACGCCCAGCTAAGAGTGGTTTATTCTACAAACAAAATAAATAAAAATTTTTAAATAATAAAAAAAACTTAAACATGAAGTTTAGAGAAAGATGTGTGGGGGATCCCAGAGAGTACTGAGAGTGGAACAGGGGTGGATATGACCAAGATACATTGTATAAATATATGAAATTTTCAAAGACTAAATAAAATATCTTTTAAAATACTACGTTAGGGGCTGAAGAGATGGCTCAGCAATGAAGAGCACTGGCTGTTCTTGCAGAGGACTTAGGTTTGAATCCGAGCACCCACATGGCAGCTGACAACCAGTTCCAGGGGATCCTACACCCTCTTTTTACCTCCATGAGCCTTGCACAGCACAGGTGCACTTAACATACATGCAGGCAATACATTCATACACATAAAAAAATCATAAGTAAAAAGATTGTACAAGGCAAATTTGAAGATTTAGTGTGAAACAATGACAATTAAAGCAGCATGTTAATTGTGTAAAAACAATTGCCTGACTTGGAAAGAACGGAACTACCCATCTAAAAATGTTTTTAAGTGCTTCCTGCTTGGTACTATGGAAATGACTCTGAAGGAATGCTCCTGAGGTTATCTGTTGTCAGTTTTTCAATGGATATATGATGTAACAACTGTATAATAAAAAACAATACGCTCATATATAGCCATAAAAATGTGTGCATGCCTAAATATTGTTAAAGTTAGTACCTCAGAACTTAGGTGAATGGATACTTGTTTTATGCACATGCCTCCGAATTCTTCAGATTAATTTTATAATGTTTATACTTTACTATTTTAATTAGATTGGAATAGCTCATTTTCATTTTCCAAAGGATTTACATATGTGTGCCTTACAGGCATGGAAATTTCTATGTTGCCAGTTTAAAATCCTGATACAAGATAAAACTTAGTAAGGCTCCCGTGTGCAAGCATATTTAAATGGACATATGCTCTTTAGGAGTCCAATAAGATGTACATGGCATTATGTTACCGGAATTTGAAGCGTTTTTTTTTTCTGAGCCTCATATAAAATAGTCATAAAATTACTTGGAAAATGAAAGAAAACTAAGACACTTGCTCTCCTTCCAACCAGGACTCTTTAGCTTGGTAAATTAGGCATGAACAGAATTTCAAACAAGCTAATAGGAATTGATTGGGGCCAGAAGTGCAGTACATATACATATAAACGTCCCCGAAGCGGGGTGGTGGAGCCGTGGGTGTGCAGATAGGGGAGGGGGCCTAAATATGATCAAGATGTTTTGTGTGAAATGCACAAAAATTCAATAAAAATATATGTTAAAAAGAAAAAAGGGGGTTCTCAGTTACCTGTGCGTCTAAAGTTGTGCCATTCCTGGGGTCAGTCTGGATCTTCTGTGGCACTGTAATGTGGAGAAGCGATGTTCTGGAGTCTGCAGAGATGAACACTTGTAAGTGCGCTATGCTGTCTACCTGAGCCCCGATGGTGGACAATGTGTCAAACAGGCAGGCACATAGGCAAGCACGCAAGCACACCATCATCCTGTTTCTCCCACTCTGCTGATGTGCTCCCTCCTGGAGCCTCCCAACTGCTTGCCTGGCCACAGGGCTCCCAAAGCCCACGGGCCCTGAAACTGGGTGTGCTCTGACGCCTTCATCAGCCTCCTTGACCTTCCTGAGCCAAAGGAGCCCAACCCAGCCCTGGGCTGGGTGACCTGCGCCGGGTTTCATCTTCACTTACGCTGGCCAGCAGCCATCAGCTGGCCCAGGCAAGAGAGGACCAGGAACGCAGACAGCATGGTGTGGCCGCCGGCTTCACCACGGTGATGGCGGTTGGCCCAACTGTGGTAGCTCGAGGTCCTGTGCCTGGGCACCTGGAGCAGGAGAACCAGCGCCTTTAGGCCCAGGCAGCCAGAGCTGCACGCAGGCCGGCTCTGCCTCCCAGGGACCAGAAGCGAGAGAAGTTAGCAGCATCAGAACACTTCACACGCCGGCTTGTTTTACAAAACTTTGATATTTTAAATGCATCCACGTGCAGCATAATGGCGACAACGCAAATTTTCTCCTCTAAGGCTTTTGGTGATGAAGTTGGGGGCAGCATTAATATTTCACCTCATAGTTTGGGGGGCAGAGTATGAATTATTGAAGTCAGGGAAAACACAAAAGTGCAGTGTTTAGCAGTATCCAGTTGGCTTGAAGGCTTTCCGCCATATCTGGTGGGTGAAAACATGAAATATTAATAAAAAGACCAGTTATTATAGAAAAACTTATTTATAAAGTAGAAAAAATGCACAAATTAGATAGCTGATAAAAGATTAATATGCAGATGGTAATAGAGAATTTTTATTACTCAACCAGAGAAAAGCAATCAGATTTAAAATCAGATGAAGGATCAAAGCCGACATCTCTCCAAACATATACAAAAGGCGTCAGAAAAGGTGCTCCATGCCAGGAAAGCGCAAACCCCCCTGTAGGGAGCTACAACTCACATCCAACAGGACGGCCTCTCTTACAAGCAGGAGGGAGAGGGGAGGAAAGTGGGAAGGGGAAGGGCACCCAGAAAGTACGCGGTGTTAACAAAGATAGGAATGGACAGTAATAGAGCTTCTGGAGACACAATGTACTTTGGTTCTTCAAGAAACTGAGTAAAAAACTTCATTTCAAACTTGTGCAACCATCTTTCTAGTAATTTTTTTTAAGTTTGCATTTTCAGTTCTGTATAGGTGTGAGGGAGGGGTAAGTGCCCGTGATTGTGGGTGCAGGCAGACACCAAAAGCCTGGAACTGGGGTTACAGACGGTTGTGAGTTGCCAATTGCGGGTGCTGGGAACTGAACTCAGGTCCTCTGCAAGAACAGTACAGAACCTTGACTTCTGAGCCAGCTCTCTAGCCCCTTGCTAGAACTTTTTCATTTTTCTGTGTACTTCTGCTTGTATGCCTTACATGTCATATTTACACTTATTTATATTTATTTGTAATATTTACTGGTAAAACGTATCAAAGACTGAACAATGAAATTTTAAAGTTTTTTCTCATAATTCTTTCTAAACATTTTAATGTTCACTTGTCAAGAGATGTTTTTAGTAGGCTACTGACAAGAAAATTTAACCTCAGAATTCCAACTTTATTTTTACTGGTTTGTTTTCACTGTATGTTGTACATCATATTTGAGTGTTTCTACATATATACATAGATCTTAAAGCTTAATTTTTCATGTACTGAAAATTCACCTGACAATAACAAATAATATATCAGGACTCACTGTTTTGCTAAGGACTTCCTTACTAAGTCCTCAATCCCTTTTTTGGTCAAAAAAGTTATGATGTATTAAGTAGCTATTCATGATTTTAATAAATTCTATGGTGATAAGATAACCAAATCATAATTTATGTTTATTAAAATTCTTGTTTCCTAGCTGGGCGTGGTGGCGCAGGCCTTTAATCCCAGAACTCAGGAGGCAGACGCAGGTGGAGCTCTATGAGTTCAATACCAGCCTGTTCTACATATTGAGTTCCAGGTCAGCTGGGGCTACAGGGAGCCGTCTCAAAAAGACTCCCCCAAATTATTTCTTTTGCCTGATTAACAAAGATACATTTTAAGACAGACTGACTAGACTATAGCCACTAAATAGTTTATATTTAATTCTACCATAAGTTTTGAAGGCTTACCTTAATTCAAGCAACAGATCCAAAGTATTAAATATTATGTGTCTCAGGTGCAAACAGGAAGAGATGTTTATGAGGTGGCATACCTAGAAATTACACATTCACAGTAGGATATACAAAATTTTATGTGAATACATTAAGATAGCTTTGGGGTTTTTTCTACACATATCAACAGTAGCTACAGAAAACATGTCGTATTTGGGGTGTGGGACACAGTTGGGATTCGTGATTGACTGAACCTGAGAGCAATATTACATCCTGTACGAGTTTTAGCTGTAAGTGTTGTGTGACATTTGTATCTCATAAAATACTCTGCAAAAATCTGGAAATAACAAGATCACAGTCATGAAGTCTGGAAGCAGTAAATGCATTCACTGGAGCATTCCACAGTTTAGGTCCCAGATGTCAACATCTCCTCGGCCTTTAGCTGTTTTTTATGGCAAGGACTTTCAGACTTCTTCCTGGATGTGGTGTCACAAGCAGGTTTGCAAACAAGTCCAGAAAATGAATTAGATTGAAGAGCATAGAATTTAAGTACTAAGAGTCATCAACACTCAGCAAGTTGTCATAAAAATGAGTGGGCGTCTTACAATCTGAGTTGGACACTTAAAAAGGAAAAAGAGTAGATGAGATAATGTCATAAAAGTATGTGGGAGAAGGGTGTATGTATACATGCTGGTTATAGCTATGCAAGAATACAGCAACATGTTAAATATACATCACAAACATGTTTCTCCATATAATTGGCCTTTACTGTAACATGTTTCTGTGTACTATGCTATGTTTTAAATATGCATACATAACTACATGTTAGAATTTCCAATATATTATTGTGACTGTTCCCCTATCCTCTTTGCTAGATTGTTGATATAGTTTGGGGGGGTGCGGTTAGGAGACAGATTAATTTTGTATAATTTCAAAATAGTTAAAGATTTCCAGGAGTTGTATAAAAGCTTTTATCAGGAGATGGGGCTGGAGAAATGACTCAGCAGTTAAGAGTACTTGCTGCTCTTGCAGAGGACCCAGGTTCAATTCCCAGCACCGACATGGTAGCCTATAACTCCAGTTCCAGGGAACCAGCCTCCTTGAACTTCCAAGGCCTTCTGCACACACAAAAATCAGAAATCCATGCAGACAAACACATACACAGAAAAATGTCTTTAAAAATTTATAAAGAGAACT